CTGTGGCGGCTCCCGGCGGCGCCACTCTGAATCAAGCGAGCAGGCCTCGGTCGCCGAGTGTCGCGGAGTAATCCTGTGGGTTTCATTAAACGGGACGAGATTTCCCAGATCCCCGGTGCAGCGGCGCGGAACGCTTTAGAAAAGTGTTGACAATGGTTCGAGCCCCGCTGGGGCGTCGCTGGGGCCTCGGCGTCGCTGCAGACTGATTCCGAGAGTCGTTTTCGTCGCTCTGCCTCTCTCGCACTCATGGACCGTCCGGTGTAGGTGCGAGGGAGACAGAGCGGCGAAAACGACTCTCGGAATCAGTCTGCTGTGGCCGGAAGCGGGAAGCGGCCCCGTCGCGGACGGCTGTGCCTGCTTGTGGCCCCGCCGGGGGTTCAGCCTGCAGCCCGAGAGTCTCGAGTCGCCGCCGCCGCGCCCCCCAGTGCCCCACCGCTCGCCATCACCCCGAATCGAAGCGGATGGGATGCCTACCCATCAGGCGCCATGGCAGCACACTGTATGGCTTTTCATACACTTTCCACACAGGCACACACGCGCACGCGCACACACACACACACACAGAGAGAGAGAGAGAGAGAGAGAGAGAGAGAGAGAGAGAGAGAGCGATGGAAATGTGTTGCTTTTGCAGTGCCGTGTATTCCATATTCCTGATATGCATCCGTGAGCACGTGACAGGCCGGCCACAAAAAGTGGAGGAAATCGAGTTTCTTGGTCCGCGTCTCGCCGCCTCGCCTCGCCGTCAGTGTAGGCCCTGCGCCGCGCGCCCTGCACGCGTCGCATTGTCGGAGGCGAAGATAGGGACCCCGCACATTCCCTTTTTTTGTTCACAGGAAAATTCCGAGCGCCGAAAACGCGTTTGAATATTTTTGGCTGCCTGAAACACGTTGTGAAATTTGTTCGGTTCAGTAATTAGGTGTCTCATGCCGGGACGCAGCACGCTTTTCCGCGGTGGGTTTGGTGGCCAGCGTGCCGCCCCCACCGCGGAGGCCGTCCCCCGCCACGCCCCCACCCCGCCCCCACCCCGCCCCCACCGCGCCGCGGCGCCACTCCTCACACCTGCCGGTTGCCATGGCGACGCCGTCATAAAAAAAGTCGGCCAGGTGATGTGATTGGTGGTCGCCTGGCCGCTCCCTCCTTGGAGCGCCTCGCAAGACTCCGCGGACCTCGCGGCCCCGCGGCCATGGCAGCACAGTGGGCCAGACGGGCCAGGAACTCTAGACGCGTTTCGAGCTCCAGAGTCGCTAAGCAGGACTCGAACCGAACGAGTGACCCTGCCAATGGATTCCTCGTTCGGAGAGCAATCCATTGGTGGGGTCACACGTTCGGTTCCAGTCCTGTAGAGCGACTCTGGAGCTCAAGAAGTCCGCGGTTTCGACCGCCTCCGCCGGTCTTCTGGCCCACTGTGTACCGCCCTCTCCACCGCCCTGCTTTGCCGGGCTGGGCCGCTGGGCCGCCCAGACCAGCCCAGACAAATGTCTGCGTTTAAAAAATACCACAATACTATGATGAATGTGGGCGGTGGCGGCGTGGCGCGTCCCCAGCGGTCCCCAGGGCGCGGCGCTGCGTCCGAGGGGCGCGGTGCGCGGCCCTGCGGACTGACTCCGAGTGTCGTTGTCGTCGCCCTGTCTCTCTCACTCCTACGGGTGACGCCCATGAGTGTGAGTGAGACAGAGCGACGAAAGGGACTCTCGGAGTCAGTCTGCGGGGTGGACGTCCAGGCCGGCGCCGCCGCTCGCCGCCGCTCGTCCAGAGCCCCGCGCCGTCGCGAAGGCAGCCTAGCCTCCCGAAGGGGTGGGCGCGGCGCGGCGTCGGCTCGGATGATAGATCGCTAATTTAGCGGGTATAGTTTGAGCTTGTCCTGCAGGCCGGCTCCAAATACTGCGTCGCTTCGTCTCTCTCGCACTCATGGGCCGCCCCGGGCCCCGTAGGCGTGCGAGAGAGACGGAGTATGGCGCTCTCACCGTTCGGGATCATCAGCCTCCTGCCTGAACCCGCCTGGGACTCCACTGCGACTCCACTGGCCGCTCTCTCTCTCCCTCTCATGGACTCGCCGCAGCTGAGCCCTGTGCCGGACAACCGCAATGTGTGTTCCACATTCTCGAAAAACATGCGACGGCCGCAAAAAACAAAACTCGAAAAATAAAGTAAAACACCTGGAATTATATAAATTTTCCAAAACATTATTGCTACGTATGACGTGTGACCTACAGAGCTCGGAAGAGTCAACTCTCCTGGCAGTGCAGTGGCAGTGGCCCCGCCGCTACGCGCTGCGCGTTGTGCGCTCCGCTTCAGCGAATGACAGGTCTATGATGACGTCTCAACCTCCCCAGCGGGCCCTGCCGGCCCTGCCGGCCCAGCGGAGGGGAGGTGCCGGACATATCTATCAGGCTATCAGTGCACCAGGACTCGCCCCATGGCTGGCGCCTCGCTGGCGCCTCGCTGGAGCCTCACTGGAGCCTCACTGGAGCCTCACTGGAGCCTCGCCCCCAGGGTCCTGGAAGGCTCTGGACGGTCCTGGACGGCTAGTCCGGCCGGGCCTGTGCCGCGCCGATCGGCAGCGATACGGCCTGGGACTTCCCTCTCTCGCGGATTCATTGACTCCCAATGCGTTTTTCTGGAACTAAAAAAAATAATAATGAAAATTGACCTTTTTCGCCTATCAAAAACCAACGCCGGAATATGGGAGGAAAAAATGTTGCCGTTTCAGATAAACGTCTAGACAAGGAGGGCATAAAAAAAAAAACGAAGCTCAGTCACACCGCTATGGGGTGTCAACCACTCAAGTCGTTTTGGCGACCGTCAGGGCAACTTTGTTTTCAGCATTCACCCTCATTTTATTTACTTCCAGTGGGCCTTCCCTCCCTCCGCGCTCTCTCACTCTCTCCGTCTCTCTCGCTCCCGCTGATATCGCGCGTCTTCGACAATCTTCTTTATTGTCTTTCCGTGTCATATTCCCGCGGGTCGAGGTGCTGGCGAGTTTGAGGTTTGTGTGCGGGGGAGGGAGATAGTGTGTCTGAGAGAGAGGGAGAGAGAGAGAGAGAGAGAGAGGGAGAAGGGCGTCAGGCCGAGAATTGAGGGAAAAAGTAGTGCCTGCCACGTAAGGGGAAGGAGGCCATTGGTATTATGTCGCGGATAAGGAAGTTGTAAGGGACAACAGCTATCTTTTTCCTCGTTTTTTTATTCCCCGTCATCGGAAACTGACCCCATATCTCCGACATCGTTTTCCCGAACGCATTTACTCACTGCTCGTTCACTCCCTCACACACAGTCTCACATACAGAGTATTCTTTGCAAAATTCTTGATAAAAATATATTGCCTACGTAAAATTACGGATCGCCACATTTTAAAGGAGGTCTCCGTTTTCCCTGGCAGTCTCGGCGTTTTTTTCCACCGTTCCTTATCTTTTCAGGGTTTTTGCCCCGGCGGTGCCGATAGGCTAGCTCGATCCTCAGGTCCTAAGCCGCCCCTACCAGCTCCCTGCTCCGCGGCGCGCCAAGCTGCGACCGAAATCTAAATGTTTCCAGTCTAAGTGAGAGAACAGGATGCGGCGGGGGAGGGGGGGGGTCTGCCCCGTCGTCGCGCTGACTGACGGAGACGGAATTCACCCCACGGGAAAAGAACAGAGAACAGCGCGGCAGCACGACGACGACTCTCAAAATGCCACCTTTTTTTTCATGCCCCGTAGCGCCTCTTTTTCATTCGTCTTTTTTTTCCTTTTCCTCGTCCTGCGGTCGCTCTGTCGCTCGGTCGCTCCCTTTCATTTACATAGTCATCATTCTTGCTGTCACCGAGATTATGTCAAGCAGTCGCACGGCGATAGCACCAAGGGCCCCGAAGGGCCGCCAGGGGCCGCGAGGATCTGCAAGCAGGGCGAAGCAGGGCGCACTTCCGGGCCGCTCTGTCTCTCTCGCACCCCAGCGGCTCGCCCCGTGAGCGCGACAGAGACAGAGGGAGGGCCAGCGTCCCACGACCGGCGCGTCGCACGGTGGGCTAGAAGACCGGCGCCGGCGGCCGAAACTCTAGACGCGCTTTGAGCCCTAGAGTCGGTAACCAGGGCTCGAACCGAACGTGTGATCCCACCGGTCTTCTGGCCCACGGTGCGTCGCCCTGCGGGGCAAGATGGCGCCGCGCCGCGTAGCGCCGCGGGCCGCGGGGAGTGTCGACGGAGACGAGCGGCGCTACCCCGCGAGCGAGGGACTCTCGGGGGAAGACTGGCGTCGCGCGCGGGGTAGCGCCGGCACGACCGCAACCCCGTCCCCTCCGCTTCTCGTATTTACGGTCCCACTACACGCTGAAAGGATTTCTCTGAATGTGTCTGTGACGGTTCAGGTGACTTATGACCGATTTAGGAGGTGACGAACCTGAGTTAAAAATTCGCTTCGGGGACGACGCCCTGTAAAAACCAAGAGTCCTTCCCCGAGAGTGCTTCGGCTGCAGTCGATTTGTGCGGTGATGATGAGGTGGAATGCGGTAGGGCTGGGTTCAATACTCGTCGAGGTGCTTGATTGACGTGAGGAGAGGGGGGGGGGGGGGAAGGCGACGTGAGTGAGTATCTCCCGACACCGCTTGCAATCGCGCCACGCGCGTAGCTGCATTCCTGGTGTGTGAATCATACCTAGGACCGCGTCAGACCATGTGTTAATTACTGTCGACCCTCAATGATTCGACCAGAAGCGTGTCCCTTTATCAATTCTTTAGTTTCGAATTTTAGGCCGTTGGCAGGGTCTTTCTGATAGACGCCTGCCATCAAAGCAAGTAAAGTAAACATAGATGCAGTGAAAAGGGCCAGAAAATAAGGGCCAAATGCTTTGAAAATGCCCCTGCAATTTACCCTCTTCTTCTGATGAATGAACGACGCTTCTGTGGAGATTGTGCTCCGCGTGAATTTAAATTTGGCGCCAAGCGTTAGCGCCTCTTGTTTCCGGTGTCTTCTCTGCCTGCTGCCTGGCGCTCTCAAAGAGGGTTTCCGGTGCGGATCCCCGTCTCACAGCCCAACTTAATTTTCGTCTGCTGTGGAGGTTCGTGTCGTTGGGTGTATGGATGAATCGTTGATATCGTCGATCATTATTGATTATATTCATCGTGGGAGTGAGAACAGTATGATTCTATTTATGCATACAAGTTCTATTCAGGCTGGTTCTTGTGACCTAAAGTGTGAAACCTGTTACTGGCAAAAGCAACTATTAGGTCGATGAACAAACTGAGGGACCTATTTCCCACCAGTTGACCTGGACTTCTAAACCAAAGCATTGCCCAGAAATCCATTGTTGTGGACCTCCCAATGAGGAAATAACTAAATTGTTGTCTTTTAATCAGACCCTTTGTAATTTTTCATTGATAGAGAACGCCACCTGTCTACATTTTGGAACTTTAGGGTGGTATTTACATAACCCTACACATGATCTGTCATCAATTTTGGGGTCCAACAAGTATAACTGCAATTATTGTGCGGTTTTTTTTTTCGATTGCCCTCCTATTTGTTTGGACTTTGGAATCGTTATCTATATTCTTGTTCATTTCATAGTACAAGTTACCTAACCTTCATAACATTGCTCTGCCCAGTACTGATATTTCTACTTTATGTTGCTTTTACCTCGTTTCCTCATCAAAAAAATCCAATGTTTTGAAGTGAACTGACGCATTTGTGTGGCCGCTCTGAGTTTTGATGATTGTCATCCTGTTTCACAGAAAGTGATGAGTCAACATGACAGAACAGCTGGTTCGTGAATGGCTTTCTGATTATGCTGCTCTTAGTCCAGTCGAGGCACATACCTTCGTAGCTTCCTTAGAACATAATCAAGAACTGGTCTCTTCTATTTATGCTGTTCTTGAGGGTCGTGACCATTATCAAAAAGTAAGGCTTCATTTTGTTTTTGTGTTGCGTTAAGTTAATTAGTTTCTTCTCTTACACTAATTTTCTGTATTTTTTAATAGCTTATCGACCCAGTGTGTAACCAGCTGTTTGCATTTTATCGTTCAAAAGAACCAGAACTTCAAAAGTTCTCACTCCAATTCATACCAACTCTTGTCTATGTGTATCTCAACGCTGTAGCATGTGGGAAAAAGAAGGTAACGTCTTTGGCATTAATATTAATCTACACTGTAAAAGTGCCATAGCAATAAAACTAACTGTGTTTTAACTGTCTTACAGAATTGTTGGAGTCTAGAGACTCTTCTTATTGGAATTTACAACTTGGAAGTTGTGGATGAATCAGGAGAGCCGAAGGTAGTTTCATTTCGTTTACCATCATTAGCACAATCATCAATCTATCATGAGGTTAGTTAAGCTGGTGGCTCTGTTTGCGCTTTGTTTTTTGCTGTCTTTATTGACTTAAAATTAATGTGTGTTCTACTATTTTTGCAGACAATGCACCTGGACCCAGCTTCTCTTACACAAAAAGAACTGCGTCGACTTGAGGAATGTAATATCAGGCTAATATCATGGGGTCCACTACCACAAATAGAGTCTCTAAATGCTCAGAACAGACTAAAGACTATGACTGCTCTACTATTTGTCTTCAATCGCAACTTAAGCAGATTCCATAAGTCTGCCCTTGAGAAGCTTTGTAGGGTTTCTTCAAAGTAAGCATGTTTGCAAACAAATTTTAACAGTGTTTTTAAATGTTCCATTCTACATTTAAGAGTTGTGTTGTTGTAGGATTACTGCACAGGGCTTTACTCGGGTGAGCAGTCACCCAAGTTCCACATCGCTGTCACCTCAACGTCCTCCTCCACGCATACCAGTATCCTCTCAATTTTTGTTGGAACTGCTCCACGCAATATACTTTGCTATGTAAGTAGATTTGTGAAACCAATCTGTCTTTATACATGTTTCCTTACTTTAACTAATATTTGATTTTTATCTTGACCTTTGTTTACATCAGGTTTAATGAATTCAGCTCAATAGCTGTGCAGGCATTGGAAGATGTACACTTTAGAGGCTGTTATGAGTGCCTTCCTGACATTATACTTGTATCTGGAGCTATCCGTAACTCTATCAAGGATGCTCCATCAGGTAACCTAATTTTTCATCCTCTTATACTGATTCTCTGGTCAAGATCCCCTTCAAATTGTCTGACAATACTCTCCCTAAACATTTTGAGATTTTCCCCATTACTACTAATGTTCTGACCAGAGATGGTGGAAGCTGACTCTGCTTGTGAAGAACTGTCTGTGGTTGCAAGACACTCTGTCGCTACCAATGAGAGCTATGTTAATGTATGGCAGTCTCTCGATGAAGTGAAAAGTGCCTGTGAGGAAATTAAATGTGTCAGAAAACGCATTGTGCAATCCATTGATGAAGCAACTGCGAATTTTGTGCACATAGTGACCATATTAGAAGCCCAAGACCCTAAAGAAAGTGAGCTATAGGTAACAGCCTATATCTATGAAAGAAGGGTGCTGAAGTCTTATTGCCTTATGAAGGCATTGAACTTGTCGCTTTTTCCTTTTCGTCAAATATCCAAACAAAAACTGTTGGAGTTTTGGACTGTTTGTGTAACTGATTTGGGAAGGAAGAAACTTGTGTGCTTTGCGTTGCTTCTTATGTTTTATTACAATCATTCTGTATTTTAGGTCAAGCACTGGATGGCCCTATGGGAATAAGTATGGCTGTCTCTCCCTCTACAAACACAGTGACAGTTTCTAAATCGATGATCACAAATGCATCATTCAGGACAAAGAAGTTACCAGGTATGTCACCCATGAGTGTAGAAATAGTTCTTGGTTCCAATTTTGACAGGATTGGCCTACTGGTATTTTCAACCCCATTTTCTTCAACCCCCCAAAAAGTGTATTTTGTACAAGGTGTCAGTTTTCAATTTTTAATTAGGTTGTTTTAATAGCATGTTAGTTATACTTTTTGCCTGGTTTGTTTTTAAAAAATTAAAAATTTGCTACTAACTATTTAACAGCTTGTAGTGATTTGCCTTGTGCAAAACATAAAATTTCTCTATTCATTATATCATTTTGTTTATGCATGCAGAAACCTTTTGGACAGTTTATCATCATGGCTCAAGGGTATACTTTACGGATTGATCCCCTCATCAGACAATGATCATTCAGCTGCTTTTTTTTTTTTATTAAATGTCAACTAGACTCATTTCTTTTCTTTTCCTTTACTAAAATTCGTTGTTTATTTTTTCGCATGTGCTCATTTGTACTTTTAATTTTGTGGGAACATCATAAATTTTTCAATAGCTCCTGCTATTTTATAGTAGTGCCCATGAATTCTTTTTTATTGATTTGGTTTCTTCTTTACCTACATCTTGCTCTTATGCATTTTTAGCCTGTACAAATGGTATTTTTGGTCTGTTTAACTATGTATTTGGTCTGATTGCGCACGCTGCATGTGTCCCTCTTCCTCAACTACATTATAAGATGACCTTGAGGAGGACCTTGGTTCAAGTCATTCTCCAAACCAACACGAGTTAATGTTAAACCAACAACGCAAGGGAAGCCTTGAAGTAAGCCCTGACATGCCCTTGCGCCCTGCAAGACATCGCAAAGGCAGAACCTGGAGATATTCAACCAAAATATCTGTAGAAGAAGAGGCTACTGAGAGCAAATTAGTTGAGGAAAAAGAACGTAAAGCATCTCCAAAAAAGGCATCATCTCGTAGGGGAAGCAGCAGTCGCAGTGGAACCAATTCTCCAAATGCCTGCAAAAGCGTTGGAGATTTTTCTTCGCCAAGTAAAATCATACTGAAAGAAAATGGGATTGTATCTCTAGAAAGGAGCAGCCCTCAGTCACCCAAACTGAATGAGGTGGTTCTGAGAGATATACCTGACTCAAGATCTCCATCTAAGTCATCTAATCGAATGAGTGCTGGTGCTCGTTTGTTTAAATTGTCTGAAGAGGAAATTGTAAGCTATGACAAGGAAAGAGGACACTTAACTAGTGGTCGTCCTGCTAGCATAAGTATTTCTCCTTGCCAAGAGAAATAAATTACTGAAGAAAAATGTAGTTTGGGCTTGTTCGGATAATTTAATTAGTTAATTTGAAGGTAATACGAGTGTAGCTAAATTAGCTCAGAGGCATCTGCACAAACATAGAGGGCACTTAAGCACTTGAGTAAGGTCATAACTGTCGGTTATGCATGTTCATGTATGTTTTAAAATTGTTGGAAGCACAACGCTGTTTGAGAATAGCCGTACTCTGTCACCATTGTAACACTATATTTACCCACTCCACTACAGTCTGCTTTCTTTTAACTATTACCATACATTTTTAACAAATTCTATGGTTCAAAATTGAATCATTCTTACAAATTAAATTTATTTTACTTCACATTTGCACAGCTTTGATTCCAATTCCTTCATTTTTTCCTGTTGGCACATTTTTTTTTTCCAAAAGGAGTGAAATGTGACACTGAAAGTGATTTCTTGTGTTACAGATGACATCCCTATCCAGCAGCCTGTTGATGGATCAGCAGCAGATGTGAAGGATCCTAAAAATTTAATGTCCATATCAGAGGAAAAAGAGGATGACAATACTGGTGCTGGCGGTACATCGGGACCTGAGAGGTTGACCCCACGGGGTAGTTCTCTTCGAGCTCCAGGTGGCATGAGTTTGCCGAAGCTGCCAAATTTACAGGCATTGGTAGGGAAAAGAGGGCGCAAGGAAGGCAGTCAAGAGCGCAAAGTAACTCCTCCCCAGCAAAGTAAGAGCTCTGCAAAACTTCCAGTCTTGAATGGGGATTCATTTGAGCTTGATAGTATGCGAAAAAGAGGTAACTCTGAAAATGGAGGACTCATGATGGATGATGGTGTTGCTTCAGTCGATTCGATTGATAAAAATTCGGCAGGTAGTGTTGAAAACATCCTCAATAATGGAGGACCTCCGAGTGATTCAGGTTCGTTCATGACTGTTGATTCGGGTGACACTGTTGATGGTGACATGGGCACACCGAATAGCTCTGCAACTCCTCTTTTAGGCCGGAAAAACAATACAGTTGAAATGGAAAACCGTGGATCTTTGCAGGTTAGCACAGTGTGAGCCTTTAGTTAGGTAGAGAAAAGAAATGCTGGTGTGCCCTTCTTAAATTACTTGGTGCCAATTTACTTCCATTACACGTTGTAGTATTAAACCATCATGCTCTCCTTGATTTTTTTAAAGTTAGTTATTGTTTGTTGATTTTAGGCTGCCATAAGAATATATTTGAACACATCCTCACAAAAAAACAAAACATGGGATACTGCATATGAATGTGTAAGGAGGCGCATTTATGGATGTTGTGTTTTTATATGCTTTAGTAGGTGGTATGTTAAGAGCACATTTCACATTGCTCAATTAATACCTTTCACGTGTGTAAGTTACATTTCAGTTCCCGACTTGGAAAAATAGTGGTTGCTTTTGTATTGTTGTTTGTTGTCTAATTTCCTTGATTTGAAGTAATGTTGGTTGGTTCAGTGCCTAGTTTGCAAGGATCTATTCCTTAAAATAAAGTTTGATTTTGTTTTACTAATTGTAATATGTGGTAGAGTTGTTGTACTTGCCATATGGGAAGAATTTAAGAGGTGGACTGATGTCCAATGCATTCTGATGAATTGTTTGTTGTAAAACATTGCAGCCATTCAATCCATGACAAAGTATTTGGGACTATTGTAAGCTTTCAGTCTCAACATAGCTTTCTTTGGGTTCCCAACAGCTTTTCCTTGCATTATACGAACAAATTGGAACCTTTAATTTAATAATGTAAAATTATAATAAATAGGCCGAGTGTTTGTTCACTCTTAAGTATTGTAGTAGAGTAGAGACCTGGATTGGGTTGGATTGAACACCAATCCAGGGCTCTCTTTTATAACAGTTTGTTGACTGGAAGACTGTTATTTGTTGAATTGAATTGCTATGTGTACATTCTAGTACTGTTTTAGTGTTAGCCCAGTTGGAAACATGTTTTAGATGATGTTGAGAGAAATTGTTAATTCGTAAAGAGAATGTTTCCAAGTGGGCAAACACTTCACATTCCCTTTTAACCATGTATGGCTTTGTTAACTTAGTACATTCATCTCCATGTTCAAGATGTTTAACTTTGGAAAGTGTATTTTTCAATGTTTGTTTTAATTATAAATTAACTACATATTACATCCTCATGATCAGCTAACTCCAATATTTTATTTCATATTCAACAAGTATGTAAACTGAATTTGCCTCATAGTCAGTCTTCAGTACCTGTATTCTCCCATACTGTCATGTTAGAAATGGCCAGAGGAGAACATTTCTAAATGGTTTTCATTACATATTGGAAATCATCTTCCTAGATGCTGCTACTTTCTCAAATTAAATGCAAGAGACTTCTGAAAATATGGTATCTGTTTTTTTCTACTTCGTCTTGAGAAAACTTGTTACAAACATGGCAATGATGTCCCCTTGTTTCCCTATCTTCTATTCATCTACTGTATGTACCATTTATATCTTATTATGCCCACGTTATTGCATGCATGTACCAGGAGTAAACCAGATTTGATTCATTTCTTGAAATGATGACCTCCTGAAGTACTTTAATAACTTCCAGTAATATAAATGTTTTATAGGTGTCAAGCAAGCAGTTATGTGATGCAATTACTTTTAGAAGCATGTTGCTAATTGTATGATTAAATACCAATCAGGCTTTTAGCCAGTGGCTATGATTGCTGTGTTTGTTTACTTTGTAAATATGTGTGTTTGTGAGACTTGGACAAGGTATTATTGTAAATGTGGGGGAAACAAATTTTTGAAAGTTATATTGATGGAAAGAATACTTTGTTCATCATGTCATGAAGTTACAGTGTGTAGGTTGTGACTTCTCTTTTGTGTGCTTGTGGGTAAATATGTGTGGATGTACAGAAAGGACCAGTATGCAAACATTGTTTTAATTTTGTTCCCATATCAAAGAATTCTTCACATAACTTGTTCCTTTTAAGGTACTTTTTTAAAAAAATATTTTTTAAAAACTTTTTGACTTGAAACCTTTAAGAGCTGTTACTCTATGCTAGGAAGGATATGCAATAGAGGTGATTGCATACTTGGTACCTTTGTGTGTGTGAGTATTGCCGTTGCTACGCTTTCATTCCACTCTAATCTCCCTCTCCCCCTTTATTTTTGAACGTTGGCTTTTTACTTATGGCACTCATTTTTTTTCCTTAGAAAAAAATGATCTCATTAACTGTTGTCGTCTACAGTTTCTCTGAAGGTTATTTATCTTAATTATAGACAATTGGATGGGTTAAACTTACTTCTACTATTTGAAGCTGTCCCCTACAGTAACCATTGAATTTCTCAAACTCTTTCTCTCCCTCTTGTTGATTTGTGTCTATTATACAGAATATAATGGAGGCCAAGTTGTTCATCCATTCCCAGTGCTGGATTTAGGTAATGGATTGTTGTTGAATTTTATTGTAAGTATCTCTAAGCTGTGATCTCTTGGTTTGTTGACTCTCCTTTTACTTGTTTCATATAATTGTTATCAATCATAGATTTAACAACAGTCATATATGTTTGTCTGAGTTATTTTTGTGAAGGTTTATAGTTATGGCTTTGATGTAGGATCATCAGAGCTAGTGGTGATCGGTTTCATTTGTTGACGCAATAAAGAACCATTGCAAGTCAATAGGGGCATGGTTGCATATAATGTACAGATTACAATAAATAAATAAATGGTATTATTGTCAAATATGTTCCATAATTTCTACATCCACAATGATTTCATTTAAAAACAAAAACAAATAAAATTGAAGGGGTTTATAAGCCGCATGTACATTTAAAAAAAAAACAAAAAAAACTTCTAAAGTAAAATGTTTTGGAAAAATCAAGCTATTTCCAAAAATTACCAGAAGTTGGTAGGAAGTAAACCTACCGGTGGTTTACTTCCCTGTTTAAGAATTGTCTGAAGGAAAGTTTCCAATCGTACAATGGGTCCACTGGAGCTTATGGCAATCTGAAAATAGAATAAATTTATGTTTTTACCAAGAAGCCTTGAAATAAAAATGTACTGCAAAAGGTCAAAGACTAGATAAAAGAAATTAATTACCTTTTGAAGTCGTGGAAAATATCCTTTGCATATAATTACTAGAAGCTTGCGGTACTGACGACCATACTGCTCCAACAAACTGCTTCCTGTCACCTCCAGAAAATCATACAAAAGAGAGGCACAAATATCTGGTCGGGGTTCTGCAACTCAAAAACAAATTTAGTATTCATGAAAAAATTCAAAATAAACCAATATTCCTGAACAAAACCATTAACAAACCGAGGTTAAGAAGAGCGGTAAGCCATCGCCACCCATTTCCCAAGTCATGAGGGTGAGGCAAAGTTTGTTTGTCACGTGGCAAGCGAGTGATAAGTATAGCAGCATAGAGCCTCATAATACCAGACATACGTTTCAAGAATTTATCTTGCTTTTCTACTTCACCATCTTCATTGTAGGTGTAGCCTAAAGATCTGTCAGAAAGTAAAGAAACAGATGGAAAAGTGAGCAAAGAATACTGCAAAACGAACACATAAGACAAAATTTACTTCTGCTTACAGGTAATAATCTTTGTTTGACTGTCCTTCCAACTGTGGCCAGAAAACTGGCACAAGGTAGGGACATTCATGGTGAAAATGAGCTAATAGAAGCTGACCCCAATCTGGGAACTCTTGCCAGAGAGATACCACAACTGCAGCAATTGCAAATGCTGCCTCTGGCTTGCTGGACACAGTAGATGCACCTTGTTTCTAGAATTGAGGGGAATAAAGGACCAAACGTAAACATTTTGAACAACAACAAAAAAAAATACAATTTTAGAATAAATGTACTATAAAACTACACACCACAAATTTTTTGGCGAGCAGATCTTTGCAGAACGGAATGCCAGCAGGATGCTGGGCAGCTGATACCCGAGCTCCATCACCGACAACAACTGGGTGACCCGATAAAAGATGACTCAACTTTTGAAGCTTATCTCGCAGATGAGATGCATTCACAGGAGATATTGCATTAACAGGGATGTTAACTGCTTTCTAAAATACAGAAAACCTCACATTATACCTTATTCTATTAAAACACAGTATCAGAGATTAGTTTGGGTATATTTATTGGATTTACCTGGCAGTCAAATCTATATTTTTTGAAACTGTCATCTTTTATCAACTGTTCAAATAATTTCTCATTATTTTGCTTGAGTATTTTTAGTTGTCTGTACCATTGGAGAGATTCTCTTGCAACACAATCTGAAAGTTCTTTTCCATCAAAATGAAAAAACAATTTGTTAGTACAGTATAGTGTTACAGAAACAGACCGGAGTACCACAAAATGATGTTGTGCATCGTGTTCAAAGTTGTCGAAACAGACTTGAAATACCAGATAGAGTTGGTGATAACCATAAAACCAAGAGACTAAAATACCTTTCAATGTTAAAGCAATTGGAGCTTACCATCACCTGAACCAGAGTCTTTTACAACTTGAACACTAAAAGCTGTCACATCCTGTGGTTGTGCCTGGTTTTGCTTGAATTGGGCTTGAGCCTCAAGTTCTTGTTTCTTAAGAAGTTCTTTTTCCTCAGCCTGCTTTTTAGCTTTGGCTGAAATGTAAATTACAGAAATCAGCTGGCAGAAAATTTACACAGCCAGTATTGTTGCAAGAACAGAATAATTCCTCTTACCAACTTCCTCCAAAATATTGGCATATATTAAGTTGATTTTAGAGCATAGGTTCTTTGCTGCCTCAACATCATTTTTGTTTACATCTTCAGTTTTCATACGCTGTATTAAGGAATGCATGCTTATGTTGAGAGGCTTGACCTCAACGGCTAGAGGAGATAATAAAGTCTGATTTGATCTGCAACAATAAATGTGTTGAAAGAATTGAAATACAAGTGGGTAGTCTTCCAACTAACAGAAACCAGCTTACTGAAACTCGTGATGAATTTTATGGAAGACATCAGAGAATTGGGTGAAATATTGATCAACTGCCTTAACACAGGCAGAAATTTCAGCAATTTTCTTCTTATGTTCTGCTTCTGCCTCCTTTTTTAGGAGTTCCACGGCTTTAATTTGCTCATCTCGTAAGGAAAGTCTCTGCAATGCAATAATGTCAAAGTCAATACAACGGCTGGGGTAACATTTTATTTGCAACAGCATAATGCAAAATCTACCTGAGCAAGTCTCTGTTGCTGCAATTCTTTACGTTGTTTGTGCTCAGCAGCAAATGCCTCTTGCTCTTTTAAGAGCTGCAACTGCTCTTTATTGGATTTCAATTCTTGTGCCTGTCGCTGAGCCTGTAGTTGAGCCTCAAAAGCCACTCTTTCTTGCTCTTCTCTTGCATCTAGGGCTGCCTTGGACCTGGCAATAGCATCCTAAAAAGTAATCAACAAGATCCTTAAATTAGTACCAACAAAGTGTACAACATACAAACGGTCACAGTGAAAGCGTGATACCTACTTCTTTCCTTTTGTATTCAACAATAGATAAGACTTTTGATGCAGATCTGGCAGTGATTTCAATGTTTTCAATGTTTTCAATGTTTCTTTGGATCTGAACATTTTTCTGCTTTGTAGCACTTAAACTCTTTCTAGTTGGAGGAACCTTTTTAGTGTTAAGCGTAGAAGTTTGAGCTAAATCATAGCTCGTTTGTTCCCCAAAGTGCTCACTGAAGCTGGGTGTCCCGCCAACATCCTTGATGAGACATGCTTCAATAAGAGTGTTTTGATTGCATTCGCTGAAGTATGACAGTACTTCTTCTCGGTCCCGTCGATGGATTTTGGTGAATTGAAGATCCATTCTTGTGCCGTCTGAACAGACCAAAAGTCGTCAAGCTGTTGCTGGAAACAAACAAACAATCAATGGGACTAAGACCTATGATAAATCAAGGAGGCTTGGAAGTGTAGCCAGACCAAAACAAGAAACCATAACCTGCTGAACACTCAAAAAATTACAGAATTCACTCGTTATGCTGATAGTTCTAATACATGCAGACACGTGAAAGTTAGATCATAGATTTATTTAAAAGATGGCAATAACCTACCTAACTGTTCTAGCACTGACAAAGAAAATGATGCAAGAATCAGTGAACAAGCACCCATCCCCTACCCAGTACGTGATTATTGACACTTTTGAATATTACATGCAGGAGACGTGCGAGTACTCTCTATATACACAGGAGGGAAGACTGCTGCATTATGTGCAGGGCATCGTAAATAACAACAACAAGCTTATTTTCTTGACCGGTTCCAGTATTTGTTTATTTCTTGCCCCGGTACTTTGGCTGCAAAAAAAATTATGTCGTGCAACTATGCAGACGGCTTGTCTCCATATCATGATAAAGGGAAGCTAGGTCTGGCAGAGGTGAGGAATTTGTGTAGCTACATATTTCAGTCAAATGTTAAACTTTAATTTGTTGTGGTCAATTTTTTGTTTGATCAGCTTTGGTAAATTTTACTTTTTTTTATTTTAATGCATGGATCAATTTTTTTTTTTTTTTTTTTTGACTGATTTTAAAGAATGTGCCTGCAAGTCTGTAGTTTTGTTGTTACTAGCATAATAGTTATTTTATTGTTCAATTTGTTTGCAGAAATTCGACAGTAATGACGAAGTGAAGGAAAAAATTTTGCAACTTGCATCTTGGATCTCAGCTGCAAAACATGTGGTGGTACATACTGGAGCTGGCATCAGCACTTCAGCGGGTATTCCAGATTTCAGGTACATGCTCACATGAAGATTAGTAACCTAAGGATTTAAGTATTTATGCTTGTGCTTAATTTTTTTACTTCTTTGTCTTTTTTTTTCAGAGGACCTAATGGTGTTTGGACTCTAGAGGCTAAAGGTGAAAAACCAAATATCAACATTTCTTTCAATGATGCTGTACCAACAAAAACACATATGGCTCTTGTAGCTCTCGTCAAAGCTGGTTTGTGTTGCTTGATTGTACCAGTAAAAGTTGTTTTTTTAGACTTTTTTTTAGACTGCCAAGTTCATAATGTCTAATATTTACATTATTCAGGTAAGGTCCATTTTGTTGTCAGTCAAAATATTGATGGCCTCCATTTGCGTTCAAACTTAAAAAGAGCCAACTTAGCTGAACTCCATGGTAATATGTTCATAGAGCAATGCAACCAATGCAATAGGTAAGCATGATAATTTTTAAACGTTTTATTTTTGATAATTTGATTTTACCTTTCTAATGTGGGCTGATTTTCTTTTTTTCACAGTCAATTTATTCGTAATTCTGCTACACCTACAGTTGGTCAAAAATGCCTTGGTACCAACTGTCCTAGTACTCGACTTAATGGAAGGCCATGCCGAGGACGTTTGCATGACACTCTTCTAGATTGGGAACATAACTTGCCTGAAAAGGACCTTGCTCTCTCTGACTTTCACTCATGGTAAGTAGAGCCCTGGATGGGGACTCTTATTTCGGTTATGTTGTGTAACCCATTTTCTTCTCAGTGTGGCAGATCTCAGTATATGCCTTGGGACAACTTTGCAAATTGTTCCAAGTGGCAACTTACCTCTTCATACCAAAAAGCATGGAGAATGTGGTCGTGTTGTTATTTGCAACCTACAGCCAACCAAACATGTTAGTATTTTACTAATCTATGTTCTAAAAAAATGGAACAAAAGAAAGGAAAATTCTGTGAAAAGATAAAACAGCTTATTAACAATAAACACTCTTTATTTCCAGGACAAAAAAGCAGATCTAATTATTCGCACTTATGTTGATGATGTCATGGTGGGAGTTTGCAAGCAGCTTGGGATATCAATACCGGAATATTCTATCAGTGAAGATCCCACAAAGCAAAATGGACCACCAAAATCGTGGACTATTCCCTCTGAGGAGGTGTGCTAAACTTTTATCAATAAGTTTTTTTTTTCCTTTTTTTTCTTTTTATTTGGAAGAAGTGTTTCTTTTCTATTATTCTGCTTTTGTTTTATTATAACAGGTGAAACGAATGAGAAAAGTGTATGAAGACACTTGCTGTAAAGGAAGCAAAAGGACAAAAGATGGGAAGAGCAAGGATCAAGAAACCAAAAGAAGGGGTAATTTTAAAGCAAACAAATTAAGGAAAGTGGAAAAAGATGGTGCATCAAGCAAAAGTGAAATTGTTCCAAAAGAAGAGATTGTCAATGATGACAAAGAAATGAAGTCTGAACAGCAGGAGACCAAAATAAAATCTGAGGACCAAAGTGATGAGGAGGAACAGCTTCCTCAACAAGAAGATAATGATAAATCGCTGAAACAGAAACTCAAAGTAGAAGATATCGAAAATCTGCTGAAAGATAAAATTGACAGTTCAGAGGCTGATCACATAATTGCCAAAAAAAGTTAGTGATTGGACTGGGTTGGGTTTCTGTCCACAAAACTAGTATTTTGTGTCCCATTGAATGATCCGTTTTAATATCATTATGATGTCAACTTGTTAATTTCACAATCATGTTTTTGTAATGTGACTTTCTGCATGTGAATCTCGTCTGTAAATAACATTATTATTCATTACCTACTAGCCATTGTGGTTTCATTCTTACGTTCCGAAGTACACGTTTGCTTTCTCTTTGCTCATTGTCGGCCGGAAGTAATTTTTGGCGCGCTGCTCGTCCACCGTGCTTCAAGTGAGGGACTTGCAAGGAAGGGCCACAATAATTTCTCAAGACCGAATGGTTTGTTGCAGCACGCGTTTATTGCGGGAGCAGGAAGCGTTTGTCGTGGCGGAAGTACAAGGGCAGGGGGCCGGCGTTGCGGGCGGCGTCTTCTTCGTCCTCGCACCGGAACAGCGCGTGCAGCGTGTTCCTCGACACGAGGTCGGGGGCGCACCGGCAGAGGCGCAAGGCGGTGGCGCGGAGTACGCGCTCGCTCTTCACGTGGTTCAAGAACTGCAAACTGAGCGCGTTGTAGCGGGGCCCTCACTTAGTCGGCAGCCACGGCGGGCAAACGTTCACGACGTCGTGGCGGCAGCGAGGAGTCCTGGAGTGAGACTGGACAGTCCCACTCCAGGACCCTGGTGCGATTTACCAGTTCCAGCTCAGGTACAGTCCGACGACGGTGACGCCCGTCACGTACATCGCGCTTCCGATCACGCTCTCGCCGCCGCTGCCCGCCGTTTCGAACTGGGCGAGGAAGAAGTTGCCCGCCACCGGGGCGCCCAGCTCGTTCTTGGAGGCGTAGTCCCTCACGGAGAACTTGCGGCGGTCGGTTATCGCACTGCGAGACACAAAAATGCTTGTCAGTGGATAAAGACGTTGCACACCCCGAAAAGTGGATTCGGGATCACGACGAGAGCTTTTCGGGCGTGATGGAAAAGCAATAGATACCTTGTCTGAATGAAGCCAGGCTGCTTGTACACCAGGAGGGTGTAGCGATGAAGCCCTGCATAGAGACACGCCACAGTTAGTACCCTTATTTTCTACTGAAAGTTAATCTTTACACAGTGTAGACGCACCGCTGTCCTTGGGCGGTGCCGACCCCATGTACGGAGCGAGGATCGTCCCGTGGGCTACGTCGTTTTGAGGCACGTTGGCCACCGCGAAGTGAAGGTAGCACCTCAAGCTGGCGTTCTGCCTTGAAGGGGCGTCGGGGTCTGCGGAGAGTACAGTCAATGACAATCTCACTACAACAGTGTGTACAGGGTGTGATGGAAACTACTCGGTACGGACCAACCATGAACACCGTGAACAGATCGCCGCTCGTCCCTGACCACGAAAAGACCGGCTGGTCTTTCACTTGGGTGGGCGTCAGTTCGTTTCCATACGACGCTTTAAGGTTGTTGGCGAAGTTGACCTGAAAAACAGAACCCAAACATCATACAAGCCCTGACTAGCGCTCCGACGGAGGCACCCGTAAGCCGACATTAATCTCATAGCACTCAGATTTAGTTTTCCCCGCTTTTTTTATACAAAAAGTTCTTTTTTGTTGTTGTTTTTTTTTGCACTGACCTGGAGCTCTCCTGCCGGCGGTGCGTCTATTATGTCCGGAACTATGCCCTGCTGCACGTAAGGGCTGTCTTCGGCCAGCACCTTCGCGCAGCACAGCGCCGTTACCAGAACTAGGACTTTCATATTGTCACAGTGTCCTTCGGAAAGACCTTGCTCGCCAAGTAAAGTGAAAATGCAAGGACGGTCCCTTGATCCTTTTCAAACCACTTCTCAATGTCCCACTCACTGTGAGACGCTCCGCGCGCCGCCTTCGCCGCGGACGGACTGCGTCCACGTTGACGTCTGTTTGACGTACTGGTCCTTAACTCGCACCGATAATAGTTTATCAGCCACCAGGAGCACGCGCGGGGATTTCTCGTAAGCCCGACGGCCAGTCCACTAACTGGATGAGTCGGACTTGTCACCCAATGGACTGGGTCAGACTTGTGACAGCATAGATTGACCGAGACACTAACACGTTCGCACCGACGTGTCAACATGTGCGCTCACTGTCACTGTCAATGCTGTCAATAGGTTGGGTTCTTGTGCACCCGAGACATTAAATATGCTGAGTCACTGGGTTCAATAAACTGAGCACATTTTATTGGCGTTATTTGGCAGGGCGATATGGGGGTCTTACTCGGGTTACGCCATTCAGCAAACAAAATACGCAACACGTATGTCTTTTTGTTTTTGTTTAAAATTAATTTTTAAGTGAAGCGGACATATTGTTGCTGGAACAAGCTGCGTAGTGAGAGCTCAGTTGGAACTGTAAGATCACGATGACGTAGGTGACAATCACAGCAAAAATCTGAAAAAGAAAAATGGAGGAACAATTACTTTGTTAAAAAACGGTTCTTGTTTTGTTGATTACGTTAAGATCTTTTGCTTTCCCCGCCCTGGTCCTAACGTCGGATACAATGTTCCCCCTTGCTGGGCTGCAAAGAATTATACCGTGTGAAGAGAGCTTCTCTTGAGATCGAAGTATCCACCAACCGTCGTCACAGGGAAGTCCCACAACACTATCTCGAGAAAGCTTCGAAGCTGGAACAGAAATGCGAGATGGGTACTCACATTTTTAGTTCTAGCTCGCGGCTGGTGGGGTCATCTCCCATTCTTACCTCATAATACCGGACTTCTTTGGAGACGTGGTAGGGAGTCTGCAGCACCTCCAAGAAATTCTTCCGTATCTTGAACACACACAAGTCGATAAAGTCACAAACTGGCCATATGAAGTACGTAATGCATTGGCGCTGTTGTGCCGACTCACCGCTTCGGATGATCGGTGCGGAATGTCACACAGAAGAATGATCATGACGTAGTAGATGACACCTATGATGAAGATGGTGAACGCCACCTGGAATGATCGTCAAGAAAAGGTCGATCGGACAGGACATCAAGTAACTCGAGATGAAAGGTACGACTTTGCTGGACTTGCCTCGGGTTTGACGTTGGCCACCTGCACGATGACCTCGTAGGCGTGGAAGGTGCACAAGATGATGATCATGCTCATGAACATGAGGAAGCTGATGGGGGCAGTGACGAGCCCCGTGCTGAGGCTGGCCAGCTTGGTCCAGCCGCAGCGGAACTCCAAGACCCGCTCCGCCGTCACGTCGCCGCGGCTCAGCTCCTGTAGACATTGCAGTGTCTTCGTTGTTGTCGTCGGCCCTCTGCCTCTCTCACGCTCGAGGGGTGCGAAGTAAACAGAGCGATGGCACCGAGGCAAGACCTTACCCTGCGCAGCTGGTTCGCCAACGCGACGGTGAAGTCCTTGATCCAGATGCAGCAGAACAACAAAGGGACGCCGCCGCCGAACACGAGCAGGATGTTGATGTAGACGTGCGCGGGCATGTGCTTGATGCCGGTCATGGAGGACTCCACCATGAAATTCCACCAGAGGACGTACAGGGGCAGCAGGACCGAGCTCGCCGTCACGGCCCACACGTGCCATCGGTACTTGTGGCACGGCAGGCCGTGGCGGTGCCAGTCCGCGCCGAACCGCTCCTGCGGGGAGAGAAGTCCATCCAGAACCCAGAGCCCGGTCGGTAGCAGGCTCATTCCTAATCAGAACATGTCGCCTTGTCCCTCTCGCACCCCCACCAAGGCCATGGCGGGCCGTGGGGGCCAAGATGGCTGCCCGTAACAAAGAGGGTCCCATACTACTCGCGCTGTTCCTTCGGAATCAGCCTGCAGGGCTCGACCAGGCCACGGCCAGGCGAACGGGGCCCACCATGAGGTAGCAGCAGGTCGGGTTGAGGCTCTGGATCCGGTGGCTCTCGATCCAGAACACGGGCGTGATGAACCAGCCCATGAGGTGCACGATGGAGTGCGCCGAGACGAAGGAGCTGGTCCAGTCGGCGCCCTCCAGCACCTCCGTCAGCTCCTCGGCGTTCACCTGGTGGGTGAGGAAGGCCTCCCGCGCGGACCAGAGCACCATGGCCTGCACGGCCACGGCGTACAGCAGGGAGGAGCGGACGGGGTGGAAGCTCACCCGCACTGCGCAGCGCAGGAATCAGGAATCATGTTTGTGAGGCAAGCGCCAGGAAACGCAAGCTCCTTTATTTGAAGATTTTTCGGTGGTGTATGTTTGTGTGTGTGATACTTGTGTCGCGGTAGCACCTGCACCGCCCGGTGGGTAGGCAGCCCATCATGCTTACGCGGTCGGAAGGCGATCGGGACGACGCCGCAGCCCGCCAAAAGGTACACGAACGGCTGCAGGCCGTCGAAGAAGGCGCTGGAAAGACAGGACACGGGCAAGTGCTTCACATTGCACAGTGGGCCTGAGGGCCGGTGGAACCGGCCAAAATTATTGACGCGTTTTGAGCTCCAGAGTCGCTAAATAGGGGTCGAACCGAACGTGTGACCCCACCAATGGGTAGCTCTCCTAACGAGGAGTCCGTTGATGGGGTCATACGCTCGGTTCCAGTCCTGTTCAGCGACTCTGGAGCTCAAAACGCGTCTAGTTGGCCGCCTCCACCGGTCGGTCTTCTGGCCCTCTGTGCATTGGCGCGCAGGTTTGGGTTACCAGCTTCGCGTCTTATCGGACGTTCACTGACTACTGAGGGTCGCCGTCGTGGCGGTCGTGGCGGTCGACGCGGTCCGGGCCACCGACGAGGATGAGCTCGTGGTTCCCGCCGCCAGTCGGCTTCCTTGGCAAGGCGTCCAGGATGGCCAGCGGCGCGGCAGAGCCAAAGGCAGAGCCCGGCCCCCGCAGCGCCCGCTCCAGCCGCGCGGGACCCTAAACAGAAACCGGTTGTCAGTGCTTGCCGCTCTCGCGTCCGGGGCACTTGAGTCATTCTTCTGCCGGCACGCAGGTTCGTGTTCGCACAGTGCGCCCCCCGAGCATGGCCGCGGCGTCCGCACCGAGCACCAAGCCAACAGCGACAGGACAGGCGTGGATAGTTAGTGGCGTACGGAGTGGACGCTTAATCAGATTGCTGTAGGCATGACCCGTCCTCACCTCCAGTCGATCGGTCAGCCCATCGCCGCCACATTAGGCCGCCACGCGCCGCCACCTGGACGACCCTCAACACTGGGGCTTGACGTATCCCTCATAGGGCGTGGGCGGAGTCCCGACATGGAACTCCATTTCTGTTAAAACAATCGCGGTTGGTCTCCATGCGTGTAAATATAGCGTGCTCGTCGGAGATAAAAACAGCTCGGTGCCGCATGACAGGTTGATTGCATCTGAAGTGAGCGTCCCGACCAACTGGGATATGTGCTGTAGTGTTTTAGGCACTCCAAAAAGATCTTGACTTGTATGCGTTTGTGAAGGGTTGACAGGTGTGATAGAAGGGCGTGAGATTGATGTATGTAATGTGCCCTTTAGTTTACTTATAAGTAACAACGATGCTTCGCAGTTGCTTTTTTTTGCATTTTCCCCATCACTTATTTTTGGCCATGCAACAACTGATTAAGTCTAAGAGTAAAGATACCTGTAAAATGTGACGTCACTTCCCCTCCCCTGCCTTCCCCTCCCCTGCCTGTCTTACCTGACCGTGTACCTGACGACAGGTAAGAAGAGGTGAAGGGTTATGACGTCACATTGCAACGGCGCACCTCATTGGTCGAGGCACACCTCACCCTCCGCCACCTGATCGACCGCGGGCCTCAGGCTGTCGAGGTAATCGTTGTGGCATCATCTATCGATCCGCGCCGCCTTGGTCTTGACGGGTTGGCGGGCCTCCTCCTGACCCTAGTGTAGTGGTTGTCACCGCAGTGTGGCGGGCTGGACAACACGGAGTTTCGTCGCGGTGGTGCAACCTCAAGGTACTTCCCTGTCGATAGAGATGAGGGCACACCTCCCGATAACGGCATTCGCTTATCGCGGAGGCCAATCTACTCCACCTTGCACAAGGGGCGGGGCCATGGTGGCGCCTGGGGCACCACACTGTGTACATAAAGGCCACGCGGGGCTCTGCTCAGTTCGCAGGGAAGCGTCAACGAGACTACCGCAAGCAGCAAGCACACTGACAGGATGGTCGCCCGCACCACGTACGTCACGCTGCACACCGGGGCACGCATGCCCCTCGTCGGCTACGGCACGTGGCAGGTAGGCACCGCTCCATGCAACCCGCGTTGCCTGGCAAGCACATGGCTCGGTGGCACCGGTAAAGACGGCGTTGTCGTTGCAGTCCAAGGAGGGCGAGATGGAGGGCCCGCTGAACGAGGCCCTGCGCGCGGGCTACCGCCACATCGACACGGCGGCCGCCTACGGCAACGAGGACGTCATCGGCAAGGTGCTGCAGGAGGAGTGGTTCGGCCCGGGCAAGCTGAAGCGCGAGGACCTCTTCGTCGTCACCAAGCTGTTCGTCGGCGGCCTGCACCCGGGCGGCCCCGCCCAGTGGATCAAGGCCTCGCTGGAGAAGCTGCGCCTCGACTACGTCGACATGTTCCTCATCCACACCGTCTTCAACTTCACCTCGTTCACGCCGCAGAACAGACAGGTCGCCGACTACGTGGACCACGTGGCCATGTGGAAGGTGAGGTTCTGCGGACTGATCCCGAGAGTCGTTTCCATCGCTGTCTCTCTCGCACTCCTCATATTTTCGAGAGAGACAGAGCGACGGAAACGACCCTCGGTCCAAAATGTGCCAGTGTCGAAAGGGCTGCCAACCTCCCACTCGGCTTCTTCTACCGAGTTTGCCCTGGGCGCGGGCTGAGGTTGGCAACCCTTTAACAGTGGCGCACAGTGGGAATTTTCGCCTATTTGGCACTGCGGCTGCACTGCGTCGACCCGGAGACGCCTGTGAGATAGGCCGTCCCGCAACACACCGGTGTTCGACGGCACCGTCTGCCGACAGGCGATTGCGATTGCGATTAATGGCTGGATCACAAATGATCGTCTGCCGCGGTCTGCCGCCTGTTTTGCCCTTTCTCTTTCTTCCGCCGGGCCTAAAACTTTGCCTGATCGTCCAGGAAATGGAGGCGCTGGTGGACCAGGGCCTGACCAAGGCGATCGGCCTGTCCAACTTCAACCAGAGGCAGATACAGAACATCCTGGACCACTGCCGCATCAAGCCAGCCAACCTGCAGGTCAATACTCCCACACACGCTATTCGCCTCTTAATGGCTTTTTCATTGTGTCCTCCATTTTTTTCCTAAATATTTTTTTCCAGAGAGGGTCATAATTAACGCGTTGCTCGTCCTCGCTTTTCAGGTGGAGTTGCACGCGCACATGCAGCAGAGGCCGCTGGTCGACTTTTGCAAGAAGAACGGCATCGTCGTCTCGGCGTACTCCCCCGTCGGCAGCCCCGGGGCCGCCCAGTTCATCGAGAGACTCAGCGGCGGCAAAACGTGAGGACGCCACTGTTTTTCCTGTGAAAACAAAGCGCAAAAACTGGACGAAAACAGGAAAAAAAAGAGACTAAACGATGTTTTGATTGCAGGATTATCGAAGTCCCCAGCCTCGTCAACCACCCCGTGATCGTGGACCTGGCCAAGAAGTACAACAAGCAGACGAACCAGATCCTGCTGAAGCACATCGTGCAGCGCGGCGTAGTGGCGCTGCCCAAGAGCCTCAACTCGAGCCGCATCGCGGCCAGCATCGACCTGTTCGACTGGGACATGAGCCCCGAGGACATCGCCAAGATCGACGCCCTGGACAAGGGCAAGGACGGGCGCATCTACAACTACAGCCACCTGGGGTGAGCACCAAGCAGGAGTTTGTTTTTGTTCTGGTAAGATTACTTGCCTCTGTCTGGCTCTTTCTCACGATGCATCTCCTGGTGTTCCAGCGTCTCACCGACACACGCCCAGTTCCCGTACCACGAGTACCCGTGATCAGCCCACCTCACCTCACCAGCCCAACGTCTTTCACCTTTAATTTATCACCCACCGCGTTCTTCTGCAACCCTTTTTTTACAATAAAACAAATACAACAGACGTTTTGTGTTGTTTTCCCCTGCTCTACTGGAAGTTGCGCTTGACGCCCTGGATGGCGCCCCGCAGGCACCCGGCGGAGGCGTTGTTGGGGTCTGCGAACACCACGTCGCCCTTCCACACCATGCCGTCCTCCAGCACCTCCTTCATCAGGGCCGAGTTGAGGTCCCAGGTCGAGTTGACGGCGTGGTACGTGCCCTGCGAACACCGAGAGCGTTCTGTCTCTCTCGCACCCCCGGGACGGCCGTGCGGGTGCGAGAGAGACAGCCTCACCGCCTTGAGGGGGCACTTGATGGGCGGGGAGATGCTGTGCAGGATGGGCGTCCAAATCATGCCGGGCATGACGACGAGGTTGCAGATGGCCGTCCTCCAGGACCAGGTGGCGTAGTACTCGCACACGTCGAGGCGCTGCGGGTCGCGGCACCGCTTCAGCTCCACGAACACCTGGACAGTGGAGTCTCTGTCTCTCTCACACTCATGGGGCGTCCCGCACTGTCCCGCCAGACCACACCAAGTGCTCGAACATGTTGAACGTACCATGCGGAACGACGCGATGCTCTTGGAGACGGAGACGGTGGCGTCCACCACGTGGCCCAAGTCCTTGATCCAACTGATCTTCCGGTCCACGAAGCGGATGGGGAGCGGAGGCCCGTCGCAGTTCTCCAAGAGCAAGACCCTCAGGAAAAGCTGTGCAGAGCGATAGCTGTAACTACGTCAGTCGCACAGTGGGCCAGAAGACCGGCGCCGGCGGCCGAAACTCTGAACGTGTTTTGAGCTCCAGAGTCGCTAAACGGGACTCGAACCGAGCGTGTGACCACACCAATGGATTCCTCGTTCAAAGAGCAATCCATTGGTTGGGTCACAAGCTCGGTTCGAGTCCCATTTAGCGACTCTGGAGCTCAAAACGCGTCCGGGGTTATGACCACCTCCACCGATGTTCTGGTCCATTGTGCACCGACAGCCTGTCTCTGTCGCGCCCCTGCGGGACGCCCCATGAGTGAGAGAAAGAGGGCGTACCCTGCCGCTGGCCTGGCGACGAGGCGACGACACACTGATGAGCACGTTCAACAGGACGGCCAGCAGCCAGCGCCGCGAGGCAGGCATGATGCCCAATGCTCGGCGGCGGGCGGTGCGCGCGGAACGCCGTCGGTGGCACTGGTTACACGCCACACCTGGCCCGCCCGCCCGCGTCACTCTCTCTGTCTCTCTCTCACTCACACCGAAAAAAAAAATGTTAATCGATCCGTCAGGTTTACAACATAACGCTTATTGCTGACGCATGGAAGGAAGCACATTATCGGGCTAAGCCGAAACAACGACTCATCATAGCAAAGTGCTTGATAGATCTGGAGCGTATGTGCAAGGAATAACTAGCCCAGACTCTCTCGGGCGGGAGTCAGTTGTGATCAGTCACTGCTGCGGGGCGTTTCAAACGCTCGCGCTTTCTGGGCGATCCGGGCGCACTCTGGCGGCCGCCCGTGGTACCACTTTGGTTGTCGTAGTGGCAGAAGGCAATGAGAGTGTTTCGAGACAGCTGACTTGTCTACCTTGAAAGCAATGTCTCCCGGTTTTAGGCATATAGGTCAACTTAGATTATGAAATGCCCTTCAGGTCGAACCCTAACTAGTTTCTTATTTTCCACTATGGCCAGTTTCATTGTGACTTCGTGAAATTTGAGTGTTTTGGTTGGATTCTCGAGAACGCCATTGCTGGCAGAAGAGTTTTGACGGGATTCTGACACAACATATGCCAGCATGGCTGGCGACAACAAGCAGACGAGGGAAACCCTCACAGTTCTCGGGTTGTGTTTGCTCCTATACATTGTCAGCAGCAGCAACAATGTTATCGGAAAATTACTACTAGTGATTTTCCCTTTCCTATGACAGTAACCATGGTGCAGCTAACCTCTATATCCCTATATTCTGGCCCTTTCTTTAGACTGTTGGGAGTTCGCAGATTTGTAGACATTAGTTGGCGCTATTACTTTAAGATAATTGTCCCTCTAGCTCTTGGTAAATTTTTGGCCTCAGTACTCAATCATGTCAGCTTGTGGAAAATCTCTGTTTCCTATGCGCACACAGGTAAGTTAGTTTTGCGCTGAATTTTTCAGTTGTGACGCCAAAGGAATGACATCTGTGTCATTGGCAGTTCCTCAACTATTGCTGCTTAATGCCAATGCATTTTTATCTGTTTCAGTCAAAGCTACAATGCCACTCTTTACTGTGGTCTTGTCACGAATAATTATGGGAGAGAGGCAAACTGGAAAGGTACAGTAATGGTTGCAGGAAAAATATTTTGGAAAGCTCTTTAATGTATTATCAATTTTTACTTACTCAACTACTGTTTTAACTGGTGCTTTGTTGTCTGAATTCCAGGTTTACTTATCACTTGTCCCAATTATTGTTGGTGTGGCGATTGCAACCTTGACCGAACTGTCATTTGATATGGCAGGCTTAATAAGTACTTTAACAGCTACTTTAGGGCTCTCCCTTCAAAACATATTTTCTAAGAAGGTAGGCAATGCAAGATCTTTGATTCAAAATATAATTTAAGCCACATATAGCAACTTATTTCTATTTCCCTGTTGCTTAGGTTCTCCATGATTCCGGGATGCACCACTTACGCCTTCTTCACATTCTTGGCAGACTTGCCTTATGCATGTTTTTGCCTTTGTGGTTGTACTTTGATTGTGCCGCCGTTTTGAGCCATCCCAACCTTGTCAGTGAAGAACTGAACATTTTTTTTGTCTAACTATTTATTCTGTAGTAGTACAATACCGACCACTCACCGATTAAGGAATGTATTGCTCTAAAATTGTCATCTGTTTCAGTTCAAGGGTGGCAGCTACAGAACCCTGATTCTCCTCTGGGCTGACGGTGGTCTCAACTGGCTACAGAATGTTTTGGCATTCAGTGTGATGTCACTTGTATCGCCTCTGACTTACGCTGTCGCTAGTGCATCCAAGCGCCTATTCGTCATTGGTATATCACTCTTTATCCTGGGCAACCCTGTCACATCAGTGAATGTTATTGGCATGATGATGGCAGTGTTCGGTGTCCTCCTTTACAATAAGGTATGTCCGCTTATTATGTTCATTAATCCATACTCCCACCACTATTTTGCTGGCATTGACAAATTATGACTCTAATAAATAATTTAAAACAATTTTCTTTGGCAGGCTAAATATGATGCAAGACAAGCTGAGAAGAAACAAACAGTCCTTCCAATGACTCAACGTCTACAGAGTCACAAGGGATATGTTAGCCTTCCCAGCTCTCCTCAGCATAATTTAAATTATCTTGACCGAAGCACTAATGGTAACATCAGTTCAATGCGACCCTATGCTGGTCCGAAGGAAAATGGTGTAGGTAATATCCTTACAAATGGTTGGGCAGACCACAGCAATGTTCATATTCATCCTCCTGTTAATAATAATGTAGTTGGCAATGGTTATGCAAACAGGGAAAAGAAACTTTCCAAACCCAATATTTTGTTTGTATGATGTCACCTTCTTTTGACTAAGTTCAATATTATAGGTTTTAATTTAGTGTTTATCTGAAAATTGCTGTCATGCATTATACTATCTGCCATAGAGCAGTAATTCTTTTACCTTAAAATGATGTCAGCTTGTCTATAAAACACATATTGTAGAAGTTTTGTTTTAAATTTTATGAAGTAATCTTCCTAGTCAGTGTTCATGCTATTTGCGCAAGCATCAGGGTTGCATGAACACACCTAGCTAGAAATGTACCTAGGTAGTTTAAGGAAGAGTTTATTTTTATATGAATTTATGAATAGCTAAAAAAACGGCTCAATGTGACTCACTAACTACTAAGCTCAAACTGATGATAGATCTGGTTGCACAAAAGTCAGCCTTGGTTTATAAAGTAATGAAATGTTTATATTAAGGCAGTAGAGTTTGTGGCTTAATTTAAGATCATTTTTTAAATTGCTTACCTTAAGGTGTTAAAACTGCATACTGATCTTCTATGGAGATTTAATCACTTGCTTGATATTCCTGCTGTAATGCTAATTATGTTTCATTTGAAAGAATTCACGCATTTCAAGCCAGGCTCGTACCCAGGATTTGCCTGTGGGGTCATGTTGCACCTGCACATTTTGCCTACTTACAGGTGGATTGCACTGCAAAGTGGCTATCTTCAGGACCCTTTTGGTGGGGTTCATGATCTTGTTGGCCCACCCTGGGTTCGTGCCTGTTTCATGCAAAGTACTCAAAACTGTTGTAAGGCATACATAGTGCATGTGATGTATTGTCTGTTGTTAGAGTTGTCAAAATTTTATTTAGTTGTGTTCGTTGACTGATGCCCTTATAGTGATAAGGTAACACAGTTTTAAAAAATTACCAGAAGATGTTTCTTTCTCTTTTGTGTAAGAGCTTATTTTATAGTTTAAATGCCAGCTTTGCACAAAATAATTTTCTTGCCTTCAGTTGAGTTGTGAACCAGATAAAGAGAACATATGATATGCAGCTAATTCAGTGAATTTCTTGTTTCTCTGTAGGGTTGGTTCAATTTTTTCTGTTTTACTGTATTATGTTACTGACTTTCTGTTTGTGATAAATGTTTGATCTGTTTTCTGTGGGGTCATAGTTTCTAATTTTAAGGAAGAAAAGAAAATCTGCTTGGTTTCATTGTAGTTTTTGGTTCTGTTGTTTCAACATTGCTGATTTATCTAACTTTGAACATCAAGGTATAATCCAAACAAGGGTAAATTTCAGATTTAAGCAAAGGAAAATCTATTGTTTTAAATCTTTTATTATTAAATCTGTTATTCTGCACTAGGGACTAGGGTATATCTTATTTTAGATTGAAGCATTGTTTGCCATTGATTTTGAAAGTGAGTGCTGGTGTCGTTGGTGTGTAATTTCAGTCCTATCGCCATATTTATTCTTAGCTTTTTGAGCAGTGCTTCGCCATCTGCTACAGTATTGAATTGTTGGGAATAGTTTGAGAAATCAAACATAGGAAAGTACAAATTTGATATTCAAATATTTTGTATGTGGCCTACAGTCTTGTCTCAATGAACCCAGTCTTCTCCAAAGATCCAATGTTTGCCAGTATTAACTTTCGTTTTTCCTATATTTAATCTAAATACGAAGTTTATCTGTTTCTTTTCAATGAATCAATGCCATCACCCAGGGCTCTGATAATAAGCACTTGTAACCACTAAAGTAGTGGTTAGTGAAGCACTTTATTGCCTTTATTGATTTTAGAAATTTACTAAAGATTAGGCGCTGCACATTATCTGGTGTGTTTAGTGATGTGAATGTAAATACACACTGCCACTGGGTGTGACAACCAAAGAACCTAAAGTCAGTGTACCCATTCAACGATTGCACTCAAATGGAGTGTATGTGATATGCCCTAAGTGTTATGTATCTAAACTAAGCTTCCCTCTTGTCTTAATGTAGCATGAACCTGCATTTCAAATCATTGTGTGGGTTTCTATTTTTTACTCATGAGACTCAAATTCCTGATTTGTGTTTTATCATTCATTTCAATGCAATCATTTTTAGTGTTGTTATTCTTGGACTCAAGCACTGCACTTTGAAGTGTTGGTTCTTAGGCACCATTTCCTTGATTTTTCACTGCATTCATTCATCACTCATATTATTTATGAAATTGTGATCTTTCACTTCAAACATGTTGTTCATGTGGAGACTGCTATCAAGTACAAGAGGCACATTAGAACTGACAATATAGCAGGTAATAATGTGGAAGTGTAGTTATAAGGCATTTTATACCTTGGGGCGGGCTTACTACTTAATTAAGCTCCTGTAAATTCTCTTTTGTTCATGGGACATATGATAATAAAGCTAGCTAAGTTTTAAGAACTTGTGCAATATGTGGCACTGAGTCTTCCTTAAATCATTTACGTATTGAAAAGACATTAAGAGACTCACTGGTCAAGGACTTGTATGATGTTATGACGAATTGCTCATGAAATGAGAGTGACTTCTGTGGAGAAGCTATTTTCCTACACAGTCGTTATTGGTTTTATACTCAGAGAGACGGTACTGTATTGTATTATGAACGTAAATGTAATTCTCCCTCCTTGCTTAGGCTTTATATTTTGGCAATGTTGTCTCGCCAATGTTTGCAAGTTTTGCAGTTTTTGCTCCTGTTAAGTTTTTCCTATCTGTAGTAATTTAAAATTAAAAGTAGACATTTAAAGAAAAAGCATTTATATATTTTAATTATGGCAATCGGCATGCACTATATTCTCAAGTGTACTGCTCCTGGGCCAGTGCCATTATTTGTGTTGAAAAGTCTTTAGTAATCTAATTTATTTTACATTTTTTTCAATTATGAAAATTTTGTTTATGTTAACTAAGATTTCACAAAATTGTTTCTGGATGTAGTCAGTGCATTGTGTGACTTCTTTCTTTAAATTTTAGTTCAAAATTTAATAGTTTTTTCTTTTTTGTGTGTTGTGTGGCAATTTGTTTGTTTAAAATTCTATACAAAGGAAGAGTGTTGACAATTATAAAATTGTTATGTCTAGCGACAATATTGAGATTGAAAGTTCAATACTCGCAAAGTTAATCATACACACATGTATGAGTGCAGCTGGTACTGTTTCCTTAAGGACTCTTCTCTCTGTGATACTTGAATTTGGAAATTAAAACATAGAAAGACCGGGAGATGTCCTTGTTTCCAATTATTTACAGTACACCTTTTCCCTCACCTCTAAGCGGAGTCTGCAGGACACACCCAATGGGACGTTAAATCCACTGACACTGCAGTATTTTTTTTTCCTTTTTAATATCTCAAGTTGAAATTGGGGGCCTGGCCACGCACTCCAGATCGCCTCGCGTGATTGTGCTTCTGTCCATCTCGCCTCTGATAAATGTCAGACGCGTCCCCTGTCCCCTCCCTTCACTGCAGGACGTAGGCCGTTGGGCTGGCTCCAGTCTTATGTCAGCCACTACATTATTAAGGGCCAGCTCTGTTCTTTGCCATGGGGACGTCTTCCGCTGAACGAACCGCTCTCCGCAATGTTTTCTGCCTCTGCCGGGCCTGTGTCTACTCGATGCCCAACAAGCGTCTTGAGTCGCCCCGATATCTTTCGCTTTATATATTTTTCCGTCCGAGTGGGACTTAGCTGTCCCGGCGGCTCTCCCCCACTCTTTCTCTCTCTCTCTTGCTCGCGTGTGTCCTGTCGGAGGGATCTGCTGTCGAGACAGTCGAAGGGGTGTGGGATGAGGACCGTGCCATGAGGACCCGAAGGAGTCGCCCGCAGCGTCGAGAGAGAGAGAGAGAGAGGGGGGGGGAGAGGAGGAGGAAGGGGACTCATTTCCATCTTCATTTACCCGATCCGCGACATCCTCATTATTAACAAGAACGTCATTACGCCCCGCCAGACGGCACCCCTCCCCCCTTACCCCTCCCTCCCCCTCCCCCTCCCCCTCCCCCAACCCCGAGCACGTCGGATACATCCAATGAATGACAGTGTGTGCCGTGGGAATGCGAGTCTGGGGGGCTCTGCCTCGCTCTGCCCTGGCCTGTCATTATGTCGACGTGCTGCCGGTTTTGCGTGTGCGTGTGTGTGCGTGCGTGTGTAAAAAGGGGGAGGGGGAGGGAGCGACTGTCAAACCACATAGCAAACACACAAAGGTTAAATTAAGCGACAGTAAATGGATTCTTCTTTAAGGTATTCTTCTGAATTTTGCATTGTGGACGTCAACAACAGGCGGGCGGTAGGATTTCTGGCTGCGCGGCGTCGCATAGTGTCGGTCGAGGCGCACGCACACTGCACGCTGAGTTACTCGTCGCGGGAGGCGAAGAGGGCCTTGTTGTGCTCCTGCAGGACGAAGACGAAGGACGGAGGCGCGAAGGGGAGGGCGGAGTGAAACCAGTGAAACCGGGCCCAGCGCTGCAGCAGTAGCAGACTGACTCCGAGAGTCGTTTTCGTCGCTGTGTCCCTCTCGCGCACGTGACGCTCCATGAGTGCGAGAGAGGCAGAGCGACGAAAGCGACTCTCGGAATCAGTCCGCCGTAGTAGCAGCAGCCGCAGCGGCCCTGCTCCAATGTCACGGTTGTCCGCCCCCGGGATGGAGGGCCCACCTTCCCCGACCTCCCCCCCCCTCCCCTTTTCCCCAGCCCTCGAGTACTCTCTTACCTCTTGCACATACTGACGGCTTGACTCCTGCCAACCCCCTGAAAACGGAGCTCGTAGAACCAGTCGTGCCAACTCTCTCGCTCCTATTCCTGACCCCATAGTGATCTGTCCCGCCCAACAGTGGGCTAGAAGGCCGGTGGAGGCGGAGGAAATTCTAGACGAGTTTTGAGCTCCAGAGTCGCTAAACAGGACTTGAACCGAACGTGTGACCCCACCAATGGATTCCTCGTTCGGAGAGCAATCCATTGGTGGGGTCACACGATCGGTTATTCGAGTGCCTTGTAGCGACTTTGGAGCTCAAAACGCGTCTCGAATTTTGACCGCCTCCACCGGTCTTCTGGCCCACTGTGCGCCCGCTGGGGCTCATCTCCGACAAACGAAAACCAACAACAGCAACAAAAGCAGGTTGGCATGCAAACAGGCTGGGCCCGGAAAAGGCCTCTGTCACGCTCTTAATGGACATCAATATTTCCCTCTCCATAGCGATCCATTTCTCTCCGGCTGTTTTGGCCGTGCGACTAGCCGGGCGACGTTCGGCCACAATTCAGCGTGCTCCCTGTTTCCCGTTCGTCGTATGTATTTGTAAACATGAGATGGGACCACAGAGTCAGTGCGGCGCGCTGTGCGCACGCTGTGCGCTTCCACTCGAAATGGCCAATTTTTCAGCTCGTTGCCCTGCTCCGGACTGATTCCGAGAGTCGTCGCTCTGTCTCTCTCGCACCCATACGGGACCCCCCGTGAGTGCGAGAGAGACAGAGCGACGACTCTCGGAATGAGCGTGGGCGCGGCTTGGCGCCTTGCGGGTAGGCAACCAAGGCCTCGCCGGGCACAGCTGCGGACCGGGTTGCCTACCCGTTCCTTCGCAGGCGGCTGCCGCGCCGCGCCGCCGCTCACGGCACCGCCACCGCACTGCTGGAGAGAGACAGACCCGGGACGCGAAACCGAAACCCTCCCTTGTTCCTTGCACCCGGCGTGGACAGAAATATTGTAACCACTTTGATTTACGACGCGCGGCGCGGCCCTCGTCGGGATCGGCTCCCCAAATCAGCACCGCGGCGCGCCGTGGCGGCCACCTCACTCAGGCCGAGTTTTGGCACCTTCGGCTTTCGCGCGCTCAAACCGGCCTGCATATTTCTCGATATTTCCAGCCCCTCTTCACACGGAGGTGGAAAAGGGCTTTAAGGGCTGCAAAGCCCCGCAGATGGAGGGCCTCTAAGAAAAGGCCAGGGGTGGCATTGCTGAAATGCAGCCGGAATCGGTGCGACATAAATCAAGAATCTCCTACTCTGCGAAAAATGGATGTAGACCGCGCCGCAGAACAGTGCCCTCCACAAGACCGGTGGAGGCGGCCTGACACGTTTTGAGCTCCAGAGTCGCTAAACAGGACTCGAACCGAGCGTGTGTCCCCACCAATGGATTCCTCGTTCGGAGAGCAATCCATTGGTGGGGTCACACGTTCTCTTCGAGTCCCATTTAGCGACTCTGGAGCTCGAAACGCGTCCCGGATTTCGACCGCCTACGCCTACCGGTCTGCTGGCCCACTGTGGAGGCCGCGCGTGAAACTTGGGGATGTCGGCGTTCTCGCGGTAAAGAGGGTGAGAAGTTATTGGCGGAAAGCCGCGGGCGTGCAAATTGTCTTGTTGGCAGCGTTGTGTTTCGGAGCGGCGCGCCGCAGCCAGCTGGCAGGCCTGGCCGTGCCGGGCCGGGCTTGCCAATAGTTTTATACCCCCTCCCCCTCCGGCCCACGTGCACACGTGATGGCATTTCGCGGTCGCTTTGCACGATCAAGTCACGTCCGCGGTGCGAGTGCACGTGGGCCTGCACGTGCAGCCCGACTGCAGCTTGCGCGGCTTGCGCTCTGCGCGCCCAGCGACGACCTCTCGGCCGCACTGCCACACTTGCCAGAGTGTGCAAGTACCAACCAAACGAAAAAAAAATACCGAAGAAAATAGTTGAAATAACAAAGAAACAATATATTGTACTTTTCTGCGATGTGAACTGGAACCAGTGCAGCCAATCAGAGCAGGGCCCACCCCGCGCCGTGCGCCCGGGCCCCGGGGGCGTGTCGCCCAACTGTCCGGGCCGAAGTTTGAGTTTCCGGCCGGCACGTTGGCGCGCTGCAGCGGACTGACTGAGTCTTTTCGGTCGCTCTGTCTCTCTCTGAGTCATGGGGCGTCTGGTATAGGTGCGAGAGAGACAGAGCGACGAAAAGGACTCTCGGAATCAGTCTGCTGCAGCGCCGTGCTGCCCACAGCACGTGTGGCGCCCTCCGGTGGCCATTTCTCTCACAGTGGGGCGGTCTGCCTTCCCGACGCCTTCAGCATCGGCCAAACCGTTCCGATTCGCTGCAGAAGTCAGAGAGAGAGAGAGAGAGAGAGAGAGAGAGAGAGAGAGAGAGAGAGAAAGAGAAAGGACACTGTGGCTGCGAAGTACTAATGCAAACAACGCGAGTGGGAGTGACAGGGTGGAGGGGGTGTCGGTGGAGTCATTAGTGCGTATGGCTTTTGGTTTTTGCACTGCACTCTCACTCTCTGACTTTTGTGTCTCGGCCGCCGCCGGTCCGCCGGTCTTTGAGTTATCGCCGGTCCAAAAGCCCGACAGCCCGGCCGGGCTGCTGCGTCGCTCCGTCTCTCTCGCACTCAGACGGTCTGGGGTGAGAGTGCGAGAGAGACAGCACTCTGCGCTGCCGCCCTATCACAGCGCGAGTGTCCATCAGGCTGAGGGGAGGGGGGAGCCGGCAGTGGCAGTGCGGTCGCACAAAAGCAAAAGCCGGCCCCGTAGCGCCCTTTCAATGGAATCGAAATTTGTCATCCTTTTTCATTCATTTTGCCGCCGCACCGCGCCGCCGACCCGACCCGACCCGCCGACTTCGTTACTTGGTTACGCCCAGCCCTGACTGCAACTCGCGCCCTGTGCCTCCACCTTGCACCACTTTGCGTTTTTATTCTTTGCTAAGACAAAAAAGAAAGGTTACCCCTGTCACGGGATTCAGCCTGCCCCAGCCTGCCTTGTTCGTGTCCCTCCCTCCATCATCACGGCCTTCACGGCGCAGCGACGCCCCGCCAATATTTTGCCTCGGTACTCTCGTATTTTATGAACCGTAAACGAGCTGCACTGCCCTTATTGGCCTTTAGCTTTCGAGCTTTAGCGAGCTTTAGCGAGCTTTAGCCGCCCTGCAACAACCTGCTCGCACAGCCCGGCCTAGCCAGCGCGTTCCTGGCTGTCTTGTCGCTGGCCTTCGTGGTGTTGGTGAGGTTGGTTCGGCGTGGTTCAGCGCCGCCTTGGGTGTTGAACCAAGTCTCCTGTTCTGTCTATGGCCTGCCTGTCTGTCTGTCTGTCTGTCTGTCTGTCTGTCTGTCTGTCTGTCTGTCTGTCTGTCTGTCTGTCTGTCTGTCTGTCTGTCCGTCCGTCCGCCTGTCCGCCCCACTCCCACGTCACGCAGTCCAGAGATAGACCACCTCGTTGGACAAGCTGAAAACGGCGACTTAGCTAATCCTCCTTTCCATTAGCGCCGCTTCCTGA